TAACTTTTATGATATACATACAATTAACGTAACTTTCTCATAAATGACATTTAAACATAATTGTTAAAGTTGAATGGGTATAGTTGTAAAACTTAAATATGTTGTCTTCTATAAATAGTAATATACACATATCACTAACCATCATATTCCAAATTTCATAATATTGATAAATTTTATAACACTTTCTTTTATAATCCGACTAATGGTGTTTCAATATTACATTTTTGTCAATTTTGTAAGACGCTGTGAAGAGGAGATGACATATAACCAATCGTATGTGCTATTTCAGAGGTCTTTTAAAAGAAGCGAGTAGATAAAACCGAAGTTTGTAATACAACAAGAGAAGATATACTGTTGATTTTTTTGTCTTAAACAATCAATCTATATAAACTTGAATTTTGATTTACTCAAAATAAATTTGATATTTTTGAAGTGAGATTAAGAAGAAAATTAAGAAGACTAATGATGAATAGAAGGAAAAATACAATTGAGTATGCTTCGAAATAATATAAATGTTAAGTGGTAGTGGAAGCAGACTTTTGAATTGTATAATAGAATAGGGGAAATTAACTAAAATGACCCATAATTTGTGTTTAATTACTAGAATGACATGCCAAAATATGGGTTATATGGGTAATAATTATGACTAAAATGTTCCTGTTTTGCTTTGTAGAGAAAAAACATATCACAGGAATGCCATTAATATTTAATTCCAGAGTGGCAAAAAAATACAATATATTTATGATACTGCCACTCCGTCCCTTTGCTCGGTTTTGTTAAATCTGTGGCTCTTGTTGCGACAGATTTATTAATTACGACAAACTATTTGATCCACCACAGACTTTCTTCGACAGACTTTTTTTGTACCACAGACTTTGTTTGATTTAGTAATGACAGATTTATAATTTTTCGCAGATTTTTTTTCCGCGACAGATTTGTTGTATGTTGTATCCACAGATTTTCCTAAATTTTAAGATTTTGAATGGTTATAAAACAAATCTGCCACAGATTTTTATTTGTTTTGGCAACAGATTTTATGATTTTTCAAAAATATTATCGTTTTATAACAGATTTTTTAACACAAAAATTTGAAATATAAGGATGACAGAGTTGTTTTTAGTACTTGCAGATTTTATTAATTTGTTGACAAATCTGGCGTTTTATAGCAGATTTTTTTAAAAAAATATAATTACTAAACAGCCGCATAGTGATAACAGATTTGTTTTTAGTTATGACAGTTATGTTTTTTGGACCCTAAGCATAACAGATTTTCTCATGTCATGTTATGGCCGATTTGTTTCTAACTAGAATAACCTTTTTAGTGTTAACAGACTTTTGGTTGGCAGATTTGTTTTTGAAATTTAGAAAAATTGTGTTACATGAGATTTAATATCTTACCTCAAATTTAACAGAACTCCAAATTTTGCCGGTTTGCTTGTATGTTTAAACCGGTTTGATTGTGTTTGGTTACGACATACTTTTATTATCTTCGACAGATTTGTACAAATTATTGCCATGACGTTTAATGCATTAAATTTCTAATAACGCCATATATCGATATAACGCCGAAAACACAAAAAATCACCGGAGAAGAAAGCAAATACGGAGAATCAATGACAAACGGAGACTCGGCGGCGAGGAAAGATTCTGACTATGAGTGACACGGAGAGTCGACGGCGACTTAGAATTTCTAGGGTTTTTTTGAAGAGAAATCGTGAGAGACGAGAGTGAAGACTAAATGTCGTTCGGCTGGAAATTTTTCTGGAAACGAGTTCATCGGCTGGATATTTTTCTCTTCTCTATTTGTCATAACTGGGCTACTTCTGTAATTGGGTTTAGTTTGTATTCGTGTAAGGGTACTAGAATTGGCTTTGTAACACATTATGGTCTTCTTGCCACGTTTAGAGTCATTCTAGGTAAATCTCAGATAGGATAATTCATCTCTCTTCAGTTATCTCTTACAATATAATTCATCTCCATTCCTACATCTATTTCTTAAACTGTAAAAAAAATTACGGCATAAATTATTTATTATACATTTCTCAAATAAATTATGTTTTTACAAGTAGCATAAAATGGTTATATTATTAACGGAGAATAAACTAATAAATTAGTGTTTCAACATTTGTTACGTCATTTGTGATTTTAAATATTTTCATTAAGTAGATATACAACTTTGAATCAAGTTGTATCAAAATATAACGGTAGACTCAATTCAAGTTGTATCCAATATGTATAACATTTGGTTATGATATTTTCATTAAGTAGAAAATAATAGGAAATTTGTTGTATTACCAGGTCTAGGCCTGGGCGTTCGGATATTTCGGGTCGGGTTCGGGTTTTTCGGGTTTAGAAAACTAAGACCCGTTCGGGTATTTTCAAACTTCCGGTTCGGATCGGATTCAGATCAGGTATTTCGGATTCGGATTCGGGTTTACCCGAAGTATCCAAATATTAGAAATTTTGTATCCGATTCTATGCACAGTATTGAAAAATACTTAAAAAATCTATAAAACCCAAGTATTTAAACCCGAATCTAACCCAAAGTAGCTAAAACACCCGAAAATATCTTAACATCCGAATAATTTAGGCACTTAGGTTATTACAAGTATAAATATTACTAATATATTATAAATATGTATTTATATTTTGTGTATGTTCGGGTACTTGTTCGGGTTCGAGTTCGGTAGGGTTCGGGTTCGGGTTTTTGGGTTATGAAGTTTAGAACCCGTTCGGGTATTTTAAAACTTCGGGTTCGGATTCGGATCAGATTTTTCGGGTCGGGTTCGGTTCGGTTCTTCGGGTTCGGGTATTATGTCCAGGCCTAACCAGATCCATTATATTTAAATTCTTTAAAATGCAACAATAACTTTTAAAATGGGATAAATTTAGAATATCAACTTTACTATTAAAAAAGCTATTAATTGAAAACGATGTAACTTAATTTTCATAGTAGGGTTTAATATTTTCACATTTTAACAAAATAAGTATTATTTATGTATACGTATTATATTACTATAATCATTAAATTTATCATCAACACTCTTAAAATTTTTTATTGGCATCAAATATTGTATTGATTAAAAGCAGTAATATACTCTTAATTATTTTTTAAAAAACATAAATACCATTGTTATATAGATGAATACAATTCAAATTTTATAGAAAAAATCAAATTTCACTTTAAATAAATAGCAAACATATAACATAATATACAACAAGTCGCGAGTATCGCGGCTAAATAACCTAGTTAAATTAAAATCAGACTTAACTGACATTAGGTGATCGGGCATAAACCTTAATTAACCTCTTTCAAACTGAATTTCATGAGAAGGAAATGAATATTATGCGAATGTACATTGAACTATATTAATTGCTACTTTCCATCCATATAGCCATTGTTCATAATATACATTCAAAAAGATTACTCGAAAGATTCCATGTTTAGGCGATTTTACAATCTTAATAAATTTTCAACTATTTAGTGTTCGTGTATCATTTTGCTGTATTTCACTCCATGTCTCTAGTTTCTCTGATTTACGTTTTGGATCTCTATATTAATGCAGAGTTTTTGGTCCTGTGTTCAGGTATTTCGACTAAAGACAATGAGGAAAATCTCTGTTCTAAATCTCTGCATTAGTGTCTGTGGTTTGATTTCCACACCTTTAAGCTTCAAGCCACAAAGTTTATCTCAAAACACAACTTTACTACTACTAGTTAGTCACTAGTTGGTCAGTTTCATGATTTTGCAATAGTCAAGTATCCAAAACCTTTCTGATCAACGAAGGTCACTCTTTCTACTATCTTTTTTTTTACATTCTTTCAATTCTTTGAATCTTTCTAATACCTTCTGACACTACAGCAAATAAAAAAGTAAACGCTTGCATAACACAACAGTTTGATGGCACATGGGTTCCATGCATTTTCTTTGTGCTTGAATAAAAATTGAATGAATGAGAATTATAGATCCAACTTATGTCAAAATATCAAAATATGAAAATAAGAAAGTAGGAAATAAAAAAGGAAAGCTGGAAACTTAATGAGATATTTTTGGTATAGTGGAAGAACCGACCCAGAAAAGGACTTGTGGTAAAGGAAAATATTCATAAAGACCGTAATTAATTTTGGAGATGGGAATTGGGAAACTTGGTGAACAAGTTATGGATGGTTTTACTTCTAGGTGGAGAAGATCACCAATTCTTCAATTAGGGTTTTTTTCTTCTATCTTGCTTTCCGTTAAAAACATTATTCATGTCTTTGCTTCTCCATCAGCCATCGAAGCTCTGCTTTCGGAAACCTGTGCTTGTGAGATCCTCTCCTCATCTTTCTAATGGCCTCTCATCTTTGTCGTTGCAAACTCATTATCAATGTTATGTCTTGATCTGCGCTGATCCATGTGGAGGTAAACGCGGAATAGCCTCGACTAGGAGGTCAGGTGGTTTTCTTCGAACCCTTTCTTTCGAACAGTGGGAAGAGATGGATGAGAACGATGGAAAGTTGCTTAAAGATTTGTGTAAGGAAATGGGAACGATAGGATCATCCAATGGATGGCTACCTACTTTGAAGGACGGCGTGTTGCGTCTCCGAGAAATGAATCTAAACTATGAAACGGATCCGAAACGCATTTTGCTGCCTCCTCTTGTGACTCTGCCTCATTGCCAAACACAATATGTCACCAACGTGGCCATGTCTACGTCTTCCCCTGAAGAAGAGGACTGTGTTGTGGCTGTCAAGTTCCTGGGACCTCAACTCAGCTTTTGCAGACCCGCTCAAAGCAACTCCGAGTGGATCAACATCAGAATGACAGACCCCTGCTTCTTCTCTTCCCCTGTCATGTTTTCCAAGAAAGATGACATGTTTCGCATAGCCGGCTCTGGAGGCCACCTCATCGGATCATGGGATCTCCAAAACCATAGCAACAACCCCAAGTTGCAGATCTTGCGGTTTCAAAACCTTCCCAAGCTGTCTGAGACAAAACGAGACCTTCTGGATTCGTGCTACACAAGCGAACACTTGGTGGAGTCAATAACCACCAGTGAAACTTTCATTGTTAAGTTGTACAGGAAGACAGCAGAGATCGTCAAAGGTATTCCTAGAAAGAAAACAGAAGCAATAATGGTGTTCAGGCTAGATGAAGAAGGAAACGCTGTTTACACTCAAGACATCGGAGATCAAAGCATTCACCTCACAAATTCTGAAGCTTTCTGTGTCCCTTCGAGCTCCTCTCTCTGCCTGCGTCGACCTAACTTCGTCAAAATCCTTGATGTCGACGAAGACAGATATATCAAGCTGCCTAAGCAAAAGTGGGATTGTTAAAGTCACTCACTATTCCATCTCAAATTGGAATTGAGTTAGAGTCTAGAGTCTTGTCTTCTCTTTTAAACCTTTCAAACATCAAATCTATTCCTATATAATTTTGCAGAAACTTTGCTATATAATCTCTCATCAGTCTCCCAACTAATTTATGTTTAAACTATATCAAACCATCTTCTTTGAAACAAGAGCAATGCTGATATCATACTTCTGATATACTAAAGAAGTTTGTACATGTAAACATATATATGATTATATCATCAAGTAAATGTGTATGTCTATAAAACATGAACCTTGATTATAAGTTTTTTTTTCCGTCGCAGACATCGCAAACTGTATAGCCAAGACCTTCACAGTACGGACACTTCTTATCTTCACCAACCCACTCCATAAACTACAACATTGAACAAGAGCTTCTCTGCTTTAGGCTGCTTAGAGTGCACACATTCACATAATCAAAGCGGAGTTGTTTTTATTTACTTACCTGCTGCTCAATATTTGGTTCACCGGTTCCATAGCACTCTACATAAACCAAAATCCACATCAAGTTTTCATAATATCATCAAATACTCTACTACAACTCTGTGCATGAAGTGTTACTAAGAATATCGATTATGTTAGGACGCTGAAAACATTGGATTAAAAGATTCCAACCTTTTGCTATAAGGTTTGTTTCTATTAGCAGTCTCAGTTTGCTAAGAAAAATCCTAGCTTTCCTTCTTAACTTCTTTCAAAGAACCGATGATTTTCACTTAACCAGGGTCAAGAAGGGATTTACCTAGGCACATCAATCGACCCTCCCCTCGACAAGTGATTCACCTTGTTTTGGAATCTGTAGATTTACTTCTGTCTACCGGTTTGTTCATCCAATGAGCCTGGAGGGATCTTCCCATCTGTTTTCTCCAAGAAGAAAAACACTATTTTGAGTAACGTCGACTTCTCTGTCACTTTGATCTTTTATGATTGATTGCTTCTTCTCAGGGACTGGTGTCACTGAAGTAAATACCGCTCCATTACCAGCTTCCTTAATCAAGGGAATTGAAAGAAAGATTCAGTATAAAGAATAGGTCTTGACAGGTTCATTAAGCAAATTAAGAGACATTTCAGAATAGTCATGTTCCCTAAGAACTCAAACAAGACAATGTAGTATTTTCTTCATTTACCAATTGTGTATTTCAGACTCATATTAGACACTTGAGATTCCAAACAAAGCTCACTAGCAACAAAACAACATCCTAGCTAAGTAACAAGTTTGTGAGGCCAAAAGCATACAATGGGAGTCCATATTCTGTCGTAAGAAGACTGCCTACCAAAGCAAAGAGAGACCAAAGGCTTGCTACAGAGCAAAAATTATTGGTTCTCCAAGTTACAGTAATTACAGTTTTTACCTCTTGCTTTATTCGCTTCATCCGTAAACAACCTAACAGAACCGCTCTGCCCCTCCATGTCTCTACGTCTTCATCCATGAACAACCTCCGGAGAAGCTCTGCTGTCATTATCCCATCCTCACGGACGCCAAGCGATGCCTTTTAAACGAAAAACATGAACCGTGTCAAAATCAAAACGGCATGAGCACATGAGAAAATCAAGGCGAGCTAAATGCATTAAAACATACTTGCCAAGTCTTAACAGCACTTGTCCTCTTGGCCCGAATAGAATCCTAATTTCAACAGAGCTTCCTGTCACATAGAGGAAACCAAACCCACAAGAGAAACCATCAAGAAAGAAAGATTCTCCAAAAACTTTCAAGTAAAATCAATCTCAATCTTATGCTTAATAATAGCTAAACTATTCGATTTAAAAGCTCAACTATTTCAAATCATCACAATTTAAAACCTTTCAAAGCATCACAACTGTGAGACTGATATATAAAATCTTGCAGAAACTTTTGCTATATATAAGACTCATCAATTTGTATATATAAGACTCATAGTAGACAGTTGAGATTCGAAACCAAGCTCACGAGCAACAAAAACATCACTTGGAGGACAGATCTGAGCTAAGAAGGTAAAAGATTGTCAGTTAACAAGCTTGTGAGGCCAAAGCATACATTGGGAGTATTTTTACCTCTTGCTTCATCCTTATCTGTCTCTATGTCCTCGTCCATGAACAACCCGTGGAAGAAGCTCCGATCGAATCTCACAGCTCCTCTACTTTCCAAAAACCTAGATTCCTAGATATTGAAATCCAAAAAAAAAAAAACAGATCCACCACACATTCAATAACCGTATCCTCAACAAATCGCATAACAAAAAGGAAGAAGCTTTCATTGAAGTAATAAGGGTCTCATACAAAAGGAGCAGATAAAAGATTTGAGGGTCCACGAAGCTCTCTCTCTATCTGAGTTTAACAACTACTTAAATTAAAACAACTAAAATCAAAAAGCTTCTCCGCTTCGGCCTTTTTCTACTTTTTCTTTCCGACGTTTTCGTTTCTCGTCTTCTCTTCCTTCAATTTCTGCTTCATCTTCTCTTCAGCCTCATCCTTCAATGTCTGCTTCTTCTTCTCAATTACGTCATAATACTTCATTGTCTCAATCTCCTTGTCATCCAAAGTGTAAGCAAAGTGCTTTTCCATCAAAATGATTTTGCCGATTTTTTCATCATCATGGATGAACTCATAAAAGGACCCTTCCTCTATCCCTTTTTCCACAGACTCATTTTTCTTGAAAGCCAGATCATCTGGACCCGGAAACAGTATCTCCAAAGAGCAATTTGCCAAATGCTTCCAATGACCATATTTGATCACATTGCTATGCTCAGGGAGATACAGTTTCTTCACAACCCCTTCAATGAAAGAGTTGAAGAAGCAGCAGCAGCAACAATGGAGATGGCATTGCTGTCTTCAATCTCTCTCTTCATTTTGACTTCAATGTCCTTTTTGCTTGAAGAACACTTGAGAGAAATCTTCAGTGTCTTCATCTTCATGGGAAGCTTACACTCAAATTTGCAGAAACTCTTTTTATCAGTTGTGTTCTCAAGACTTGGGATTGAAGAGAAAAAAGGAAGAGTCAGTGAAGCCATTTGAGAAGAAGAACTAAGAAACAGAACAAGTGAAAAGAAGGAGATAAGAAGAAAGAACAAGGACACAACTCTATATATATAGAGTGCAAAACAAGTCATTTGAATTTTGAAATCCTCCTTTGACTGCCAAAAAATCAAACGTTTGCTGCAATGCTTTTGCTTTGGTTGAGTGTAGTCTTGATTAAAAAATAAAAATGAGAGGAAGAGGAAACTGTCACAATTGTGAGAAGCTTTAACATTTATGACTTGCTTTTTAGATGTTAACGTTGATACAATTTCTTTATATTTTTGTCAAATTGAAATGCACGTCTGTATCCACACACACATACATAACCGTCTCAAATTATTTGGACATCTTTTCCAAATGCACACACAAGGTTTACGGATATATGTATTTTCCAAATGGTTACATTTGAGTTTGTTCTCTATAATGGGATAGCTATTTGTTTATTTCTTACTAACAGTACCAATAAGGGAAGTCACCTATAAAGTTTTGGATGTATAAACCAAAAAGAAAACGTTTGGGACATAGCGAGGAAAAATATAAATAAGAAATGGACAAATATGATGGAGATATCACATCGAATGTTCGAAAGTGTTAAAACTTTTTTTTCCCTTTCTTTCTAATTTGATGGTTAGAAATAGAATCTTTAGTTACCCAATCACCTATATATAGCTCCACCTGTCCCTCAAATTGGAATTGACTATGACTCTTGGCATCTTCATCTACTGAATAGTGAATAGACCATTTTGATTCAAATGATGTGTTTGGCTTTTTCATTATCTATCATTTGTTTTCTTTGACCCAAACAAAAAAAAAAAAAAAAATCTATCATTTGGTTCAATTGCAGCAGATTGTGTCAGGGCTTTCACCTTTAACTTTAAAATTTAAGATATTACGTTGAGGACAATATGGCATATGACATCATATATCTATCAAACCTAAAAATGTTACCATGCCAGACAACAGCTGATCCGGTACGGTGAAAACAAAGCTGGAAACGGTGAAACGTTAATCAAGAAATAGACACAAGGCAGGACGTGATGTGGCACTAACACATGCAGCTTTGTCTTACACCTGCCAAACCTTTTCAGTATTTTTGATTTTTTAATTCAGATCCAATGCTTCAACACTCTGTTTGACTTGGTCTAAAATGTAACTTATTATTATATATTTGCAGCTGTCTCGAATGTAAGGTACACTTTTTGTTTGACATCGAATCTAAGGTATATTTGATGTTGGTATATTAAAATAAAATCAAAGATCTTTCTATAAAACCTTACATTATCTTTTTTTGTTACGCCTATGTAACACAAATAATATTAGAATTATGTCTTCCCTACAAAAGTAAGATATCAAAAAAAGAAATCAGAAGCAATAATGGTTTTCAGGCTCGACGAAGAAGGAAACGCTGTTTACACTCAAGACATCGGAGATCAAAGCATTTTCTTCACAAATTCTGAAGCTTTCTGTGTCCCTTTGAGCTCCTCTCTCTGCCTGCGTCGACCTAACTTCGTCATAATCCATGATGTCGACGAAAACAGATTTAGATTTTTCAAGCTGCCTAAGCAAAAGTGGGATTGTTAGAGTCACTCACTACTCCATCTCAAATTGGAATTGAGTTAGCGTCTATATATAGTCTTGTCTTCTCTTTTAAACCTTTCAAACATCAAATCTATTCCTATTTAATTTTGCAGAAACTTTGCTATATAATCTCTCATCAGTCTCCCAACTAATTTATGTTTAAACTCTATATCAAACCTATCTTCTTTGAAACAAGAGCAATGCAAATATCGTACTTCTGATATACTGAAGAAGTTTGTACATATAAACATACATATGATTAATTATAGGGAAAATTCCCAAAAAAAACCTCAATTATTTTTTATTTGGACGTTTAATACCCAATTGTTTTCGGTTGGAAGAAAAATACACATATTAATAAAATTGTGCGAGTTTAATATCCAAACAATTAAATGTTGTTATTTTCATACTGACGATCTCACAACAAAAATAAAATTCCAATTTTACCCTTACTATTTCAATTAATTATTAACTTTTAGATTACGTCACAATAGTTTTTTATTTACATAAAAATTAATTTTATAAATATTTCATTTCTTTGTTATCCCAAAAAAAAATTCAAAAAAATTTTCAAAATAATTTGCAGTTTATTTTACAAATATTTAATTTTCATTCGGATTCGGATTCGGATTGAGATTTTGTCGAAAATAGTTTCATTCGTGAAGGATTTATATTCGAATAGAGAGTTTCTCACGACGAAAAAAAAGTTCATATTGATGCTCGTTGATATCATATGCATCACGACGAATCAAATCAAATTAGTTTTATTGGCGATGAAGATTTTGGATAGGATTAAAAGGAGATTGTGAATGGTTATCGAATTTGATGGTTGCAAAAGAGGACGACGGAGATTGTTTACCGGTAATTCTCGTAGATATTAATCGAAAAAATTAGAACCGAAGAGAAAACGTCTCTTTGACATTGCAAAGACGGAATAAGATTGTACAAATGACTATTTTTAATATTTTTGATTTTCTGCTAATTTTTATGTTTAATTTTAAAATAAAATAATTATATAAATTTAAAATTTATTTTTTAGGCATCATAAAATAAAGCATTAACAAAATTAATTTTTATTTAAAGAAAAAAAATATCACCTTATTTAAAAGTTAATAATTAATTGAGATGATAAGGGTAAAATTGGAATATATTTTTTGTTGTGAGTTCGTAAGTATGAAAATAACAACATTTGATTGTTTGGGTATTAAATCGCACAGTTTTATTAATATGTGTATTTTTCTTCCAACCGAAAACAATTGGGTATTAAACGTCCAAATAAAAAATACATAAGGTTTTTTTTGGGAATTTTCCCATTAATTATATCATCAAGTAAATGTGGGAGTGGGAATTGCTTTAATATTTACGTTTTATTCCTTACATATGTTAAGGTTCGCAAAAAAGTATTTGAAGATGCACAAACTAGTAAACATTACGAGATTGATTTTTAATATTATGCTATATATATATATATATATATATATATATATATTTTGTTTCATTGTACAGAAACAATAAATCTCTATTTATTTCAATTAAATTATGTGTTTGTTGCTTTTATTTTATTTTTTTATATCTATGTAATAGTGTAAAAGCATGCTTGATTAGTTGATTGTGTGTTGTTGTGGTATATAATTTGTTATAGTAGATAAATTGATTTCTAAATGTGGTGATCTATTTCTATATATATATATATATATCATCTTTTGTCATTCGCTATAATTTCAATATACAGATTGTTTTTTTTTTGTTTTTCTATATACTTGTTAAGCAAGCTCCATGACCTATGAAAGTACCTTTTTAATTTGTCATAACACTTGTGATGTTTATTCTTCGTATTGCCGAAAGTGAAGAAGTGGGAGAGCCTACATTATTACAAAATGTGTATGCACATGTTTGTGTATATAACTTAGTTTTCTTGGCAACAAAATAATTGCCTGCTTATCAAACAATGATTACATCTAATTGCCTTCTCCTTTACAAAATCAATAGAGGAGTAATTAATTTGCTTGATTTTTTTCATAAACTAAAACAAATATACAAAAAAGACTACATCTAATTGTATTCTCCTTAGACTATGGTCTTTTGTTCTCTTCGTTCTACCTTTTTGTTTTTATGTTTTTGGTTTCTTCTTGTTCAATTACATAATAGTAGTTTATGGAATCAATTTTGCATCGTCCAACTAATAATGATTTTCTTTTCCATGAAAATTTATTGTCTTTCAACGGTTTTTTTCAATGATAAAATCGAAGGGCTTTGAATGATTAAGAAAATAAGATTATCAACACAAAATTAGAAGACCAATAGTTTAATGTAATCGTCGTGAATTGGCCAAAAGATTAGCCATGCTCGCTGCCCTTCATCAAGCTTAAGAATTAAGTTTTGCAAAAAATCTTCATGGCTTTGGACTCTCAACAACTTGTGCGAGCAATTAATTCAAAATCTCCATCAAAGGAACTCTATAGTATCGTGTCTGATACTATACATCAATCCTTTGTCTTTTCTGAAATTGTTTTTAATTTTGTTATACTTTTGCTTTTTTCTTCTTCCCAATGACATTGTATTTGTTCATGGAATAAATCTTTTCATTGGCAAAATGATAAATGAATTAAATTCCTACAAACTAAAACAATCTTGCCACTTTGTTTTTTTTTTTTTATTGCTGATGAACTAAAAGTATGAACTTTCTTCTATGCCTTTTAAAGTGTAAACCTAGAAGACGAAGCAACGGAAGGAGTAGGAGATGATTGGGCGATTTAGTCATGGATACCAAATTTACTATCAATAAAGACAACAATTAATTTTGGAGATGTGAAACTTGGAGAACAAGTCATCCATTTGTATTAATAGAGGATGGTTTTGGGTGGAGAAGATCATCAGTGTACATCTTCTATCTTTCTTTTATCTCGTCCTTTAGTCATGTCTTTGCTTCTCAATCAGCCCTCGAAGCTCTGTTTTCGGAAACCTGTGTTGGTGAGATCCTCTCCTCGTCACTCTAATGCACTCTCATCTTTGGTGTTGCAAAGTGATTGTCATTCTTTTGTCTTGATCTGCGCTGATCCATGTGGAGATAACCTCGGAAAAGCCAAGATTAAGAGGAATGGGCTTCGTTACAAGAACCTTTCTTACGAAGAGTTGTGTATAAAATTGGAAGAGGATGATAAGAAGGAAGCAAAGTTGCGTAGAGATTTGCTTAAGGAAATGGGAACGATAGGATCATCCAGTGGATGGCTACCTACTTTGAAGGACGGTGTCTTGCGTCTCCGAGAAATAAGTGAAAATAATGACACAGAACCGAAACGTATTTTGCTGCCTCCTCTTGTGACTCTGCCTCATTGCCAAACCCAATATGTCACTAACGTGGCCATGTCTTCATCTTTCCCTGAAGAAGAGGACTGTGTTGTGGCTGTCAAGTTCTTGGGACCTCAACTCAGCTTTTGCAGACCCACTCGAAGCAACTCCGAGTGGATCAACATCAGAATGACAGACCCCTGCTTCTTCTCCTCCCCTGTCATGTTTTCAAAGAAAGATGACATGTTTCGCATAGCCGGCTCAGGAGGCCACCTCATTGGATCATGGGATCTCCAAAACCATAGCAACAACCCCAAGTTGCAGATCTTGAGGTTTCAAAACCTTCCAAAACTGTCCGAGACAAAACGAAACCTTCTGGATTCGTGCTACACAAGCGAACACATGGTGGAGTCAATAACCACCAGTGAAACTTTCATGGTTAAGTTGTACAGGAAGACCACAGAGATCGTCAAAGGTATTCCGAAAAGGGAAACAGTAGCAATAATGGTGTTCAGGCTAGACGAAGAAGGAAACGCTGTTTACACTCAAGACATCGGAGATCAAAGCATTTTCATCACAAATTCTGAAGCTTTCTGTGTCCCTTCGAGCTCGATTTTCTTCCTGCGTCAACCTAACTATGTCAAATTTTTCAATGTCGACGAACACAGATTATTCATGCAGATTAAGCAAAAGTGGGATTGTTAGAGTCTCTCACTATTCCATCTCAATGGAATTGAGTTAGCGTCTATATATAGTCTTGTCTTCTCTTTTAAACCTTTCAAACATCAAATCTATTTCTATATAATCTCTGTGAGACTGATATATAATCTTGCAGAAACTTTGCTATATAATCTCTCATCAGTTTTCCAATTAATTTATGTTTAAACAATATCAAACCTATCTTCTTTGAAACAAGAGAAATGCAAATATGATACTTCTGATATACAGAAAAAGTTTGTACATATAAACATATATATGATTATATCATCAAGTAAATGTCTGTGTAACCTTGATTATAAGTTTTTTTTGCCATCGCAGACATCGCAAACTGTATAGCCAAGACCTTCACAGTACGGACACTTCGTATCTTCACCAACCCATTCCATAAACTACAACATTGAAGAAAGCTTCTCTGCATTAGGCTACTTGATAATATATATACATACGCATAATCAAAGCGGGGTTGTTTTGATATACTCACCTGCGGCTCAATGTTTGGCTCACCGGTTCCATCGCACTCTACATCAACCAAAATCCACATCAAGTTTTCATTTTGATATCATCAAATGCTCTACAACTCTGTGCATGAAGTGTTACTAAGAATATCGATTATCTGGGACGATGAACACATTGGATTAAAAGATTCCAACCTTTTGCTATAAGGTTGGTTTCTATTAGCACTCTCAGTTTGCTAAGAAAAATCCTTCTTAACTTTCAAAGAACCAATGATTTTCACTTAACCAGGGTCAAGAAGGGATATACCTAGGCACATCAATCGACCCTCCCCTCGACAAGTGATGCACCTCGTTTTGGTGATTGTGGATTTACTACTGTCTACCGGTTTGTTCCTGCCAATGAGCCTGGAAGGATCTTCCCATCTGTTTTCTCCAAGAAGATAAACGCGATTTTGAGTAACGTCATCTTCTCTGTTACTTTGATCTTTTATGATTGATTGCTTCTTCTCAGGGACTTGTGTCACTGAACTAAATACCGACCCATTACTAGCTTCCTAAATCAAAGGAATTGAAAGAAAGGTTCAGTAGAAAGAACAAGTCTTAACAGGTTAAAGCAAATTAAGAGTCATTTCATCATCTTAGCTAACTAACAAGCATGTGAGGCCAAAGCATACAATGGGAGTCCATATTCGGTAGTAAGAAGACTGCCTACCAAAGCAAAGAGAGGCCGCATAACTACTCCTAAGGTTTGCTACAAAGCTAAAATTTATTGGGACACTTTGACTGGTACCATAGATAAGTGTGGTAGAAAAGAGCCATAATATAGAACAAGTAAGAAGACAAGTTCTCTAAGCTGTAGTGGTTTCAGTTTTTTACCTCTTTCTTCATTGTACTTGCTTCATCCTTATCTGTCTCTACGTCTTCATCCATGAACAACCTCTGAAGAAGCTCTGCTGTCATTATCCCATCCTCACGGACGCCAAGCGATGCCTTTTAAACCAAAACACTAACCATGTCAAAATCAAAACCGCATCGGCACACGAGAAATCAAGGTAAACTAAATGCATAAAAACATACTTGCCAAGTCTTAACAGCACTTGCAGTCCCACTTGAAAAGCTCGAAAACTCCATGTCCTCTTCGCCCGAATAGAATCCTAATTTCAACAAAGCTTCCTATCGCATAGAAGAAACAAAATCCACAAAACAAAACCATCAAAAAAGAAACATTCTCCAAAACACTTTCAACTAAAATCAATCTCAAACTTACTTAATAGCTAAACTACTTCAAATCTCTCAATTTTAACCTAATTCTCAGTGATGATGATAGAACTAAATTGACAGATTACTCGCCTTTGTTCTAAAACTGAGAGCAGACCTGCAAAGCTTGAACATCGTCGCCTTCGCTTCCAACTTTCAATGTCCGTCTCTTCTTCTTCTTCTTCACCGGCTCCGAAACCATAACTTTCTCTTCAGCAATAACCACTCGCTTCTCTTCTTCTTCCACTTCCACTACCTCCTCAACAATTTGTTCTCTCGTACTCTCCAATACCATCGGCGTTGCGCTCAATCCACTCTCAGAAATCCGATTCTTCTCCTTCAAACCCTGAAGCAACGCAGCGATATTCGAAATCGTATCGGGAACAGAAGTCCCCAATTGCGAATTTCGTGACTCTAGGGCTTGAATTTTGAGCTGGAGATTCGAAATCTCTTGTAGAAGTGATTCACGCTCGCGTATCCATCTCTGTTCTTCACGAAGCCATCGTTGCTCCTCGCGAATCCATCTCTGCTCTTCCCGGAGCCACCGGACTTCTTCGCGGTCGTAACCGGAGGGGTTTTGAGTGGAGAAGCAAACGATTGAAGAAGGAAGAGGGAAAAAGAGAGGAGAACATCGAAATGGAAGAGATCGAGTGGGACTACTACGAGATCGGAGTGGAAACGGAAGAGACAGAGGTAGAGAAGAAGACGCCATTAGAGAGAGAGAGAGAGGATAGAGTAATCGAAGCTTTTGTTACCACATACACATGGCGGGAAGATAATTTCCATCTCTTTTTTTTTTTAATCTCTTCTCGATGTATCTCTTGTTTTGTGGATAAAAGCCTTTTACTTCTCGGTTGTATTTTTTTTTTTTTTTCTGACTGGATGATTCGATAGATTAACTTTCAAAGAGTTCAATTACATATACAAAACGGAACAAAAGCAATAAAAAAAACAGAATCATCTTTATAGCCCTTTGATCAAAAAAATAATCCAAATATACTCTTCCCGAAATTGTCAATTATTTTTTATTATTTTTAAAATAGAAAATATGGGTAAATATTTTCATACCCCTTCAAAAACTTGAAAACTACACATCCAACCACCCTTATTCCCACCCAAACCCACATAATTCGGATCTCTCTCCTTTGAAACACTTAAAAGAAATCGAATCGTTTTTTTTCCTCGTTTCATTCTCTTCTTCTTCGAGAGTGGAGTACAACCGTAGATAACTCGAGCTTGTGTCTCTCTTGTGTAAGTCGAAATTGCTATTCAGTTTTTCCGTGAGTTGGTGTTGTCGATTGGAGTTTGTTTATTATTTGAGTAGATTAGAATCCGATTGGAGTTGTTAATCGTTTTTGTTGTTTGGTTTGAGCAAGAACAAGATTCGAAATGGTGCGTTCAAAGAACCCAAGCTATCGTGAAGAACCAAATCCAACAGATGAGATGGTAGAAGTAGAAGACACTCGTGGAGAAAAACCTGAAGAAACTGAGTCTAATCCGCCGTCTAATCCTCAGGATTCAACGGTATGTCTAGGTTATTGATCTAAAATTCCTAAACCAGAAAGTAAAACTAAGTATGAATTAGTGTATCTTGTTCAAAAAATCGTAAATCAGAAAGTACAACTTAGTATGACTTAGTGTATCTTGTTCTAAAAATCGCAAATCAAAAAGTACAACTTAGTATGACTTAGTGTATCTTAATTTAAATTTTCTAAAACAGAAAGTACAACTTAGTATGACTTAGTGTATTTTAATTTAAATTTTCTGAAACAGAAAGTACAACTTAGTATGACTTAGTGTATCTTGATCTATAATTAATGAATCAAAATGTACAACTTACTATAACTTAGTGTATGTTGATCTATTTTACAGGAACCCGAGGAAGAAATCAGAGTTATGCAACCTCTAAATATATACTTCGGTCCCGAGGAGTATACAAACCCATTTAAGATTTGTGTGAAGTGTTATATCGCACAGACAGTGAGGCTATTAGGGACTCATCTCAAAGCCGAGGAGTTGGATTGGTTCCTCTTGCACCCACAGTTCAAGCATTTCTTCCATATGCCTAAAAACTCAAATCATAAGTTGATGGGTATGTGGATGCTCTTTCTTCGCACATCGTGTTTAGAGAAGAAAAGAGAATGCTGGTTCATTGTTAATGGGGTCCCAATCCGCTATTCTCTCAGACAAATGGCACTCATGTCTGGATTAAACTGTCGTGAATATCCACTTTTCATGGAAGGATTGGGGAATTTAGCATTTGCTGGGAAGCACTTTGGGGTTGGGGCAACAGTAACATATGCAAAAGTCAAAGCGAAGCTGCTGTCAATGAAGGAACCTGGGATAGACCGTTTGAAGATGGCTGTGCTATTCTTCCTATCAGCATAATCATAGGGAAGTAAAAAGGAGGGCAGCAAGCACCCTCTGTAGAATCTTTCTTTCTTAGAGTAGTGGATGATCTTGACATATGTAAGACATTCCCTTGGGGTCGCTTAGCGTTTAATGAGAACATGAAAGACATCTTTCATTTGATGGACCACTTTGATGGAGTTGTGGGGGCATCATGGGTCTTTCCTAGTTTTGTAATTCCTTTGGAGGTAATTATGTTTTGAAATTGTCCATATTGGTATAACTTGCTTCATCTAAGGTTTGATGATCTTCTGTTTTATGCAGTTTCTTGCGTTTGAGGCAATTCCTGTTCCGAATAACACTTTCAGAGAAGATGTTAGTGATGCACGTGCATACCGTAGGTGTCCTCAGATGTGCAGGATGAAATATAAACCCAGCAAAATGAAAGGCTTTTCTTTGACAGAAATTTATGAATGTCTTTGACAGAAGACCGGGTGAACAAGGGGTTTAAGGAAATCATTGAGAAGATTGATGGCTTGGATGGCAGAGTAAAATCTGTGGAATCTTATGTGAATTGGGTAAGAGGTGAAGAACAAGTTTGTCCTATTTATGAAGTAGAGAAGACACTAAAAGAAGTACCTGATGTATAGATGGAAATGACAGAGGAAGAACAAGCTGAGAAGGAGAAGGCTGATAAGGATAAGGCAGAGAGGGAACAAGCTGAGAAGGAAAAGGCTGAGAGGGAGGCTGAGAAGGAGAAGGCTGAGAAGGAGAAGGCTGAGAGGGAGAATGCTGAGAATGAGAAGGCTGAGAGGGAGAATGCTGGAAATCCACCAAATCTTATTTGTCACAAGATGTCAAGAGTCAACAAGCTTTCATGCGGAAGTGGGCGTTGGTAGAGATGGAGATGGAGTTTTCACACTTAGATGCTAAAGACAAGAAAAATTCAAAGATACACTTTGAAAGTAAACAAACTTTTATTAAATCAATGATAATGGGTGATTTAAAATGAACTAAGAGCTGACTTTTTATAAACTTATAGACAACGGTCCTAATGTGCTGATACAAGAAAAAGAATCGCAAAAATAATTACATAGAGCCGTTGAGCAATTGAATACGAAATCATGAAGGGAATATCTTCATTCTTGTATCTTGAAAGCTTGGGAAGAAAGGTGCGACTTCTTGGGACATTCTGGGACGTGTGGAAGGTCTTCAAAACGCAGCAGTAATGACAAGGAAAGAGCTATTGTGAAGGTGTAGATGATCTCCTGATTTCGATATGTGACTTTGGGACGCACACAAAGGAAATAAAAAGAAAGTTTACTTAAACAGCTTCTGGTAGATGATGGTATTAGGGCCGGCCCAAACTATTTGAGTGCCTAAAGCAAAAATTTTTTTGGCCCATTAACAAAAGCTGTTATAAAAAAAAAATACAAGTTTTAACATGTATGAGATTCGAAACCGTGACCTGTACAACAAAAGACTTCAACCTAACCACTAGACCACAATAACATTTTAAAAATTGATGCCCTTAAAACTACTTATAATTATTTGATGCCTAAAGCCCTTGCTTCATGGGCTATACCCATGGGCCGGCCCTGGATGGTATGGTCGAAAATGAGTGTGTCACGAGCATCTCCGATTCTAGCTAAATGACACATGAATGTTCCTCCCCCATTCTTCATAAAATGGGCTGTGGGACGATTAATCTTCAATATAGGGCGAGGAAATATGTCGTTTAATCGGTGAACTTGAACTCGGGGCACTCCGGGAAGGCTCTCGTGGCACTTAGGTGATTTGGCTCTGAAATCTTCAAAAGTACCTCGCCCAATATTCCTTAAATGTCTATAATATAGGTGAATGTCGAATATTGTGCGAAAGATTATGACGTTGAGTGGAAGAACTTGAAAATGGCTTAATCTGGTGGGGTCTCTTGGTATTTGGCTTCATTGGCTCGATAGTTTTTATAATGTCTCACCCAAACGTATTTAGATATGTGACTTTCTTGTGAATAATCAATCCTATGCCTTTTTCTTGACCAGAATTTGATTTGAGTTTGATTCCTCCATTTTTGTTCGATATGGTCGGTTTAGGGCACAAACCGGCTGGTCTAGTTAGATCTTGGTCATATCTGATTTCTGATATTGTATCACAATGTTTTGTTATGAAATTTTGAAAATATTTAGAAATAAATAAATAATACACTAACGCTCCAACTAAACCCCGATTTTAATCGATTTAGGCGCTAAGTCTATATTGAACGTAGAAGTACCGCCTAACAATTTTTTGAACATTACATCTTCTTATTATATTATATTTTAAACACATAATTTGTTACCAAACTTTTTTTTTTTTGACATTTTTGGATCGACAAGGCCCGATCCATAGCCAATTCCTACTACGCAGGAGTAACGCGACTTACTGGAGTTGAATTCCAGTGGAGAAGGCGGAGTCAAGTGGATTTAACCACTTGACTAAAGGCACATCCCCAATTTGTTACCAAACTTCAAATTACCTAATATTTAATTGTTTAAGCGCATATCACCAGAAATCATCTTGTAATTTATTAAAGATGGAGTAGGTTGAATTTTGTTTTCTTCCAATCATTTCTCACCAAGACATCTTTAAATAATGCAGCACTATAGAGCACTTCCATCGGACCATTTTTGGGGTGTCCTCAAATTTTAGAAGAATAATAAAAAAAGAAATATGGCAATTTATTTGGTGAACAGGAGAGATACGGTGTCATACTGTGTCTGTGGAGAGACATTTTTGCTGGTTTTAGACACCGTTAAAATAGTATTAATTTTATAATAATTTATACTTAAGACATTCTTAATGAGTGTCACGAATGTGGATGCTCTAAGGCATTTGACCCTTTATATATATATATATATTATGAATAATTTTGTTTAAAGACTTTATGATGAGTGAGCGTGTCCACCAATAAGGGGCGTATATGTTAGCTCTGACAAGCCTCTCATTGATGTTCGATAGTCACTAGATTAATTGTGTTTCTCACATAACTGTTGCTCTGCTCCCATTTGTACTCTTATCAAAAGTCTCACGAGCCATATAATAAAAAAGAAGTGTGTGACATCTTGAACGCACCATGGGATTCGGTTCCAAGCTACTCTCTCAGGTTGTTGTCTTATTTGATCAGAAGTGATCCCGAATCCCGATGATCTCATTCTTCATGAGGCCTATAAATGGAACATCGTTACATCGGTAAAGGCAAGAGGAAAAGGTATATGGGTCTGTAATATGTGTTAATTAGAATGTCAGGGAAGTGCATGCTGCAATAGAGCAAGTTTGCCACTCCTCATTTAAGGTCACATCAGATGCAAACCTTAACATTGAATACCCAAGGATCGCGTAACTGATTAAGTCATTGATAATGTCAATCATACAATCAATATAATGTGGAGCCA